AGCCGGGGCTGGTCGCTAGTGTTTAATTATTTTATTGTATTGAACAGTCGAAATAATTTATTTTTGACTAAGTACCCAATTGTTTTGTATGATTGATATGAATTTTTCGACTATTAGAAAACGAGCTATTAGAAAACAGTAAAATCTTGACAAAATAAATTTTCTAAGTCTTATAATACGGCAATTGTCAACTTAACATCAGTAAAGGGCAATTTTTATTAATCTTATATTACACTTTTTTTAAGGGGGGAAAATCATCGATTGGCTGCTCCCGCCTGGGTGAGGTGGGAGGTAGTGTCAGACTCTTACTGACTAAAAACCACCCCGTTCCTTCTCCTGCACGTTGAGCCGGAGCCCCGGTTACCTCTTAGGTTCTCCGTGACATCTTATATTACACTAGCTTCGGCCCGTGGCTTCACTCGCGTTCCCGTGAGATAAAAAGTAGCTTATGTGTCATTCCAAACCATAACCTATTCCTGTTCAAAATTTATCCCAATTCCTCAAACCGTTTAGGCGACTCACTAAATCTTTCACTTCAAATTCAGACACAGAGCACAAATTCTAAACTTTGGGAACTTAGCAATGCTTACGTCATAACAAATGGAACCGGTTTGAACCAGAATAATGCAGCTTTAACTGAATCGTTCAAGTTTGAAGGTTATCCAAAGTTAAGTCTTAAATTTGGATTAGTTTTGAGGGTTTTAGTGGCAACTTGTAGACTAGTTGTCAATGGTAGGATAAACTAGTTTCTATCAGTATCTGTGTGATAAAATAGCCTATATGTTATTTTAAAGTCCTGTTTCAAATTTCCTCGCGATACCTGCAATCGTTATGTCATAACTGAGTACACATATCTCACTCACTAACTGTAGCATTTATAATATTAACTAAGATTGAAAAATGTAGGTGAATACATAACATCATCTCGCCTTATATCCCCGAATGGGTAGGCAGAGGTACACATTATGCCAGTGTACAGTGTAATACCCACTTTTTACTATATATGTTAGAAGTCTCATGTAATAAGGGGAGAGTCTATTGCCATATACCGGGCACAATTCCAGTCTCCGTGCTCCTACTGAGATTTTTTTTAAAACCCAGTAACACATTGTCTGACCCGGGAATCGGACTCGAGACTCCTTGCCCGGTAGTCGAACTTGCAACCACTCGGTTGCAGTTGCAGGCAGTTATATGTATCTATGTAGGTATTTTCTAAGTCTAAATAAACTTACATGTAAATATTATCATTCATAGTATTTTAATTTAGAAATACAAATAGGCTATGTTTATGGATGCAGAGAAAAAAAAAACTACAAAATATTATATACGAAACAATTTTCGTTTATTTTTGCAAAAAGCATTTTGATTACACGCACATATTAGGTAAATACCTAAAGGTTAAAGTCGCACCACGCATCATTATTTTTTTAAATAATTTAAATAATTTTATAATAGCAATAATAATACATTAATTAATAATTTAATTATAGTTTCTCTTCTATATAATTTATCACGTATGGCAATAAACAGAATATTTACAACTTTACATTAAAAATAAATTAAAATATATCATTTTAGTAAAATCTCAATAAAACTAGATTAAACGAATATCAAAATAATAGGATTTGTGATATCAGGATTTTTATATCACGATCGATAATAAATTCACTATCACAGTATCTTAGGATACCACAGACAAAAAATAATAATAAATTACAACTTCAATAAATATTTAACAAAGTAATAACAGAAATTAAATAAAATATATAATAAAATTTATTCATTTGCATTAAAAATTGAATAAATAATATTGAATTGTTGCAAATGTAAGGTGTTGAAGAAACTATTCTAGTTATACACAGAGCTACTTATACACGTATTGGTTTCATTAAATTACATAATATTGCTGTTTTTATCTATTCCACGGTAACATCTATTTGATTCCATCTATTTCGTAAAATAAATACTAATTACTCCTTTATCATCTATACCTTTAAAAACTGACAAACATTGAATTTTTATGTACATTTTATCAGAAATTTCACATTGATATTCGTCTACAAGTCTCTAACACTGATTATTTTCTGAAATCACAACAAGCTATCTACAGGAACACAGAAAAAGAAAGAAAGAAAGAAAAATAAAATGGACGGATCTTAAAAGAAAAATAGATTATAGCAATAATTAAAAACTTAATCGCTGATTTCTAAAGTTAGATTTTACGTATATCAAAATATGTACAATAGAAATTTGAATTTATTAAACAAAGCACAGGGTTCTTTTTGGAAAAATAAGTTTTTCTCAGATATGATTAATATTGTTAGACAGTTAGTTGTAATAACTATAGAAGTCACAACCATTTATTATTACTTTTTTTACAATTACAGCCCGTACGTGCTTTTTACAATTTCGCACATACTATACACACTAAAAATTGGCTATAAATATTATTAATAATGTTTTACTAAAATTTATACACGCTAATATTTCATCTAATATTTTTACATATACTTTGAGCCTATTTTACTTATTTAAAAGGAAGACACATTGAATTAACAATAGCGAATTTTGAAATTGTTGCTCAAATAAAATAATTTAAGTAAAAAAAATCCTATTCATTTATATTACAAACGTTTATTAATGTTTATTCATAACGAAACATGCCTAATTTTTTTCAGAACACTGTTATTATTTTTTGAATTATCTATACTAGTATTGTAAAGCTGAGGAGTTTGTTTGTTTGTTTGTTTGAACGCGGTAATCTCCGTAACTACAAGTCTGATTTGAATAATTCTTTTTGTGTTGGATAGCGCATTTATCGAGGATGGCTATAGGCTATTAAACATCACGCTACGACCAATAGGAGCTGAGCAGAGCGTGTGAAACCGCGCGGAAGTAGCTATTAATAAATAATGAGGAATTAAATTTGAGGAATTTAACAGTTGTCCTAATTCATTATTTTATTTGAAACAACAATTCTACACCGTTTATGAGAACGCAGAAATACAAGCTAACGGTGGATTATGGACATTGACACAATAAAAATAAATAATAGATTATATATGGACGCAAGAGGAAACAATAAGTGCTCAGTACAGACTTTATCAATACTCTTAATTACAATTACATATTTATATTTCAAAAAAATAAAATAAGTTTGAAATTAAAATTGTTACAATAAATATCTATTCATTTATGTTACATGAAATATATTATTACAAATTCTTGAGTATTTGATAAAGTCTAATATACTGAAAAGCAGATAGTGCGATTATTAGTCAAGTTAGTAATTCCATACAACTATTAATATTTAAAACGATAAGTTTTGACACAACACTGACAAGTTACAAACATCAAATCTAATAGATTTGGTATTTACCGTAGCACATCAATAATCATTATTTTAAAAATCGTTTTTTTTTTTCTCTATTGAAGCGTTATTTGTCCCCATTATAGTATCTTCCTATTTTAATTTAAATAAAATCGTAATATTAATTACTAAGTGACTGATATACCTATTATTATAGCTAAACTATTTATCTACAAGTCTATATTATTAATTATATAATAGCTATTTACAAAAAAGTCTAGTTACATTTTGTTACAAAATTAAATTACATATTCTATTACAATATAATTCATTTAAATGAAATTTATTTTTTTAATACATATTTTTAAGCAAAAATAACAATAATGATGATTTTATCCAAATAAAAATGAAGGCAACAATTATTTATTTATTTACTGACTTAATAGTATAATTTATACTACTTATATTAAATAACTTAGACATTCATTTAAAAACGAGTTACATTTTTGTTATAAGTTGTACACACCCTATACGTATGTATTAAAGTCAATAAATAACCATTTTCTATTACTCTTCTGGTTACAAATACTTTAATAGTTATTTTTCTTATTATATCTACGGACTATTATTTTATACTAATAATAATTTAGTTTTATTCCTAGATGCTACATATTTACAAGACTTTGGCCTCATTAAATAGTTTAAATCTTACATTTAGGCCCGTTAATATAAAACAGCCTACGTTATAAATAATAATAATTATATTTATTATATTATATAAAAATGACTTTAAAATGTTCTACTATGGAATGATTCTATTATACAAGACTTTAGATAAGTTTATGAGAAAAAAGACAAATTTTGAGAAAAATAAAATGTAGATATTAGTATTTCACTACAAATTAAATGAGCGATGAAATAAAAACGTTTATTAATACAACATTCAGATTCTACCTCATTTACTAATTCATTATTTTATATTCGTATTTCATAATTTTTAAAAAATATTTACAACTTGGTATCATTATTAATATTTTTTATTGAATAATATTTGCAACGATTTCGGTTTATGACTCCATTTTAGATGTACTAATATTTTGATATTACTATTATATATACATACATAGTCTAATTATGGCGTATTTTTTAATATGTTTATAGTTAATAATGATATTTTAGTTTGATTTACACAATGTTATTTCTGATAAAAGTTGGTAAAATCTATACACAGTGAATAAGAGGTGAAATGTTAATATACTTATTTAATCAAAATGATAAAGGAAACACATCCATTTGTGCTAGAAAAGACAGATTCCAAATATTTTCAAAGTAGAAAAATAATGTTCTTTGGTTCAGATTGATAATCGCAAAGAATTATCAGAGATTTAAATTACAATATCTACTTATATATTTTATTTGTCAAAAATGAATTAACAAGCCCTCGTCTAAATCATAATAATTATTCTATACTGCTAAAACGGGACGTATTAATTCATTTTCGAATAAAATCTATCAATAATGCCTAAATACGACACGTACGTATATTTTTCTATACAAATTATATTATGTACCACGACGATTCTAAATAAATCACATCAACTTTGGAAGTAAGTACACATATGTCCTTAAATATTTCGTTGAGACTGTTGTAGGCCTCTTAAACCGCTGTCACTTCGCACTTTCGCGATATTCAAAGTGATGCTAGATCTGAAGTTCTTCTAGATGGTACTGGCACTCTCAGTTGAGCAGAACCACGTCTATCTAACCGTTCTAAAGCATCAAGATCCGAAGCACTTCTCTTACAGAAACTACAGAACGCACACGCAAGAGTATTCTTGAACGCATTACGAAAGTCTCTATTAAAATACGCGTAAATTATCGGGTTCAAAGCTGAATTAAAGTACCCAGTCCAGAACATGATCACTGTCACAACTTCAGGGCATCTACAAGAGTCACATAATGAGGTTGACACGTAGAATAGGAAGAAGGGAAGCCAGCAGAGAATGAAGGCACCCATGATGATGCCCAATGTTCTGGCTGCTTTGTGCTCTCTCTTCATTTTGAGGATATTCCTATCCTTCGTTGGAGTCGTTGCGTTTATATGTAAGGCGCCATTCTTATCACCTACTTCACGAGAATGTCTGTGCATTAGCATCGCATTTCCAGCTCGGGCGTGCAAATTCTTCTCTTGTCTGTTCGCTTCCCTGAATATTGCATAGTACGTGAACAACATTATGGTGCAGGGTATCCAGAATGAGATAGAACTGGATATTACCGCGTAGGGTTTATTTACTATGAACTCGCACTCGTCAGCTCTTTGCACTTTCAAATGGTCGCTGGTTGTGTACCAGCCCATGAAGATTGGGACGTAGGATATTGTGATTGGACTTAGCCATGTTGCTGCTAACATGACGAATGCCATCTGGAAATAAAAAATAGTATTAAAATCATTTTCATTTTAGACTCAATACCTATATTTGTTTGAAAATGTCGTGAGAAATATTGAATTGGGATGATGACGATGTATGAAAATTAAAAATACTATTAGTCCGTCAGTTAGGTACCTAATGAAAAAATATTAGACACGTATTTTTTTATTTTATCGTATAATAAAACAATACTTAGATAAAACGAATCAAAGTTTAGGAGTGGGGGCTAAAACGTCATTTCTACGTATAAAATGTACATAGAAGTGACGTCGCGCGACATTTAAAATCGATATATCGTCAAAAGTATTCGTTTCTGTAAAAAAAATAAAAAATACGTGTCTAACGATTTAAAATAATCTACCAGACGGACATTAAAATAAAAATTAGGCATCTACCCTATTAAATAATCCCGTTATGACTTGAAACTAGTAGCTTTTCTCAATGGATTCACGTGAACGAGCCGTTATTTTCAATTAGAATAGATGTGTTTTTAAAGGTAATTTTCATTTCTTATATAATAAAATCATCATAACGTTTAATTAGTATATCTGTTTCAGTATTATTAAAACAAATTTCACCAAAACGTAACAATAACCCCCATTAAATATTTTCCTCGAACCAGGTTCTGGTGATTAACGAATTTGTCGGCAATTACTCTCACATTGAATTCATAATTAACTATAATTAAACATTCCCAGTGACTAATTATTCCTACATTAGTAGAGTATTTAATATTCATCTGAATTATTTATGATATGTCTGCTTTAGTTACAATAATGCTTTTAGTTTAATATCTCAATTAGTTACGTAAACATGGCTACACATCGAGCTATGCAAAACCAGTATAAGCTGACTTACAGACCGTTCAACATGTGTAGCGATCACACAAAGCGGGATCATAATAAAATGGTTTTGTATAAGTTGACGTGTACTCATGTGTACAAAGATTCAGAGTGAATTGTTCTTGTGTCAAGGATTATCAAAAAACTGGTACAGATGATATTGAGGTCAATTGAGCTGGACTGATTGAAACTTAAGATAAGGTATTTGGCGATAAAGATTGACGTCTTGATATGGAACGGAGTTGTTAAAGACAAATAAAATAGACATGAATGACTGTATCATCGATCATTAGAGCTACTAATACTGTTTTTCAGTTTTCTCAATTCTCAGTTCCACTACAGTTACACCTCATACAGTGCATAATTGATAAGTAGTTAATAATGAATGCAGATTATGGTATAACATGCTATGAACCTTTAAATAGACAACCAAGGATGATGAAAATAGGCGAACACAGTCTCTTGAAATAATGACTGTGGCACCTAGCTACTATAGAGTTACACGGAAAACATCAACACATTGACGTGAAGGACATCTGTCATTTTTTTTTAAATCTAGTAAAGTGACAACCCTTTACATACACATAACATAACATCACGCCTTTTTGTCCCCGAAGGGGTAGACAGAGGTGCACATTACGGCACTTATTGCCACTGTACAATGTAACACCCACTTTTCACTGTTTATGTTATGAGTCCCATGTAATAGGGGGTGAGCTTATAGCCATATACTGGGCACAATTCCAGACTCCGTGCTGCTACTGAGATTTTTATAAAAACTCAGTAACATTTTGCTCGACCCGGGAATCGAACCCGAGACCCCTTGACTGGCAGTCGCACTTGCGACCACACGGCCAACGAGGCAGTCATTACGTACATAAAAAAACCACTGACATTTTGGTGCTTTAGTCATTTCTAAGTGACATGATTTCCGCCTTTTATTCAACGTCCTTATGAACTACTTTGAGAGTAATAAAAGCCTATTATATTTATAATCATAAAAGGTATGGAACTAACCTTCTTCGTCATCTTAATAGGATACTTCAACGGTTTGACAATAGCGTAGTATCTATCCACGGATATGCAGCACAGATGTAATATCGACGTTGATGTGAAGTAAACATCTGAGGAGTTCCATAGATCGCAAATGGTGGGTCCAAATAGCCAGCTGTTGTAGAATTGGACACTGAAGTTGAACGGCATCACCACCATAGCGACGAGGATGTCAGCGAACGCGAGGGACACGACGAAGTAGTTGGTTATGACTCGAAGTTTCCTGTGGGAGAAGAATAACATTATTTGGGGAAGTAAGTTAATAAATCAACTGTTATGGAGATGATTTGGTTGATTCTGTAGCTGGGTAACCAGCTGCCTTTTTATGACTAAATTCAACACAATCGGGTAGTTTCCAGGGTAAAAAAAATTAAAAATCGAATTAGTCCGTCAGTTAGATAATAAAGTTACAATACTTAGATCAAATGGAGTTAAGTTAAGGAGTGGGAGGTCGTTACGTCAAAACGTGCTACATTTTGTAGCACGTTGTGACGTCACACGACATTTCGAATCAATATATCGTCGAAAGCATTTAATTTTATGAGAAAAAATACGTGTGTAATGTATTAAAATATCAGACGGACATTACAATAAAATTTCGGAAACTAGCCTATTGTTGCATTTAGACTGCACTCTTGGTGCGGTGGTAGGGCAACTGTCCGCGCACCGTGTAACTTGTTCGATACCCGCACTGATCACCTCTTTTTGTGATGCACAAATTAGTTATTACGAGCCTGGGTGTCATTTGTATGTGAACCAGGACAAAATCCTAGTAGGGGGCAACGTATTAAAATATTAAAAAAACAATAATCTGATTTTTTGTTAATTTGCTGTGATATACAGTTTTATGATTGTGAACATTTCGACGGCCCCCACGTAAAGTATTGAAACTGCAAAACCTCTACTTTACAGGAGAGCGATTTTAAGTTTAGATTTAGATTTTTGTTAAACATAAAATTCCAAAATTTCATATTACCGATGTATCTTAAGTGGAAAATTTGACTGTTTTATACTGTCTACTATAGTTTTTGATAATTATTATACTTTTTGTAAAATTACACATTCGATACTTTACTTGATTACTGCTGGTTACTTTTTTATCGAATATGCCAATTTCGATAGTTATCTATGACAAAATATTCTAGTCTAATATCGAATGTGCCCGTTTCGATACTTTTCCGCGGCAACAATATATAGTAAACTATTGGATGTGGTAGATTCGTTTGTTTTCTTTGTTAAATTGTTCAAGCCAATGTAACATAACACTAGATTCGATTTAAGATACCTTCATACTACTTTTTTATGTCAAGCTTTTTCTGGGAAATAAAGAAAAACACGATCAGATATTTAATCAAACAAATTGTATTAAAAAATTAAAAATTATAAAACACAAATACTTGGTTACAAAGCGGCTTTTACCTTTTAGATGACATTTCAATATTTTTAATGTTTTATCTTACTTTTTATTTCCTTTATTTATTTATATACTTGACTTATACATTTTTAAATATTTGATTATAAAAAAAAACATTTAAAAATATAAAAAGCAGTAGCCCACCAGTAACGGGAGAAATCCAAGCTACCGGTGGTCAGGGCCCTAGAGAAAGGAATTTCCGGACAATACGCGCCGTGTCCAGAAGTACTGCTTTCTACATCAGGCCCTTGACCCAACCATCTAACGCTAGCCTACTCAGATGTTGGTGGAGGCTTTTAGCAATGAGGCCATTGGCAGATACAACTATCGGCACAATGACTGCTGAATCCACATCCCACATGTCGACAATCTCATGAGCTAAATCAAGATATTTCCTTGCTTTATCTTTTTCAGCTTTCACAAGATTCTCGTCATGTGGGATTGTTATATCAATTATCATTGTGCGACGTCTTGGTCGATCTATCACCACAATGTCAGGTTTATTTACAACAATTGTCCTTTCTGTGATGATAGTTCGATCCCAATACAGTGTGACATCTCCATTTTCAAGAACTGGGTCAGGCAGATACTTATAATACGGTACTTCAGATTCTACAAGTTTATATTTCAAAGCAAGTTGTTGATGAATAATCCTGGCTACAAGATTATGTCTATGCAAGTATTCTCCATTAGCTAGGTGAGAACAACCCGAAATGATATGCCTGATGGATTCATCGGGACGATGGCATGCCCGACAAATGTCAACAGTTCCATCCTTTATAATATATCTTCGATAGTCGTTCGTCAACAAACTTCGTCCATAATTGCAGACAAAACCTTCCGTTTCTCCAACTAAGTTACTGAAACGTAGCCAGGATACGGACGCTAAGAAATCCGTATTTGGTCCATGTAAGGCCCGGTAGTAGCGTCCGTGCAACTCCTTACTTTGCCATACATTCCTGCGATCATTAGTGCTCAGTATTAAAGGTTCTCTCCAGTTCTCGTTAGCCAAGGAGAGCGGAGTAAGCCCTTTGTCCACAGCGACAACAACTCTATGCAACCCCACGTCCATTTTCAAAAAATACTTCCGGAGACTGCACACTTCACTATTGTGGTGGGTTTTTGCATTTAAAAAGCCTCGCCCCCCACATTTACGCGGAATGTACAGTCTCATTATCGATGATCGTGGGTGATGCATCCGATGTGCAGTCAGCAATGAACGAACTTTTCTATCCAGGGTGTCCAGTTCCGTTTGAGTCCACTTGAGTATGCCAAAAGAGTACATGAGTACTGGCATGACCCAACCGTTGTAGGCGCGCACCTTGTTGCCGCCTGATAAAAGACTATTAAGAACTTTTTTCAGGCGGTCAAAGAAACGCTCCCGTAACGATTGCTTCATGACAGTCACATCGATGCCTAACGCTTCTGACATACCCAAGTACTTATAGGTTTCGGTTGAGGAAAGGGGTCTGAAGCTTGTAGAATCAGAATTCTGTGTACCATCTGATTCCACAATTTCCCCCCTCTTTACATGTAGAACTGCACATTTGTCCACACCAAATTCCATCCTAATGGCATTACTGAACGTTTCAGTGACATTCAGTAATTATTCATTAGATTATCTCATTAGATGCAAGTTGTTTGGAGCAAATAGCTTTAAGTCATCCATGTAAAGTAGGTGGGATATAATTTGTCCCCCTCTTCTCAACCTATATCTTAACCCCGAGCCCTCCAACAGAGTACTTAGAGGATTCAGGGCTAAGCAAAACCATAATGGACTCAAAATATCACCCTGAAATATACCCCGCTCAATCCTAATGGGTTCATCGTTCCCACAGATCTGTCCACATCCTGGATAGCGAAAAACCATTCTCCATTGTGTCATATATGCCATCAGGAAGGTACGTAGAGCTGTATCAACTTTGTACAGCTCTAGCACCCTCATGAGCCATGTATGTGGCACGGAGTCATAGGCAGCTCCTTAGTACCACGGGATCCATTCCTACATCCATTTTGAGAGGCAGACATGATATTATTGTCTTCAATATGTTTATTAAGCTTTGGTCTCAAAATGGATGTAAGAAGTTTGTAAATTGTGGGTAGGCATGTAATCGGCCGATAGCCTGTGGTAAAGAATTGGGGCAAAGATCCAGACTCCAAAGCTGACTGGAATTGAGATGCCAAGCAATTATGCGAACTGATAAACCATGTTATCCAAAAATTATGCAGTCCATCCGGGCCTGGAGCTTTCCAATTGGCCAATCAAAATCTTGAATAGAGTTAGGAGATGGAACCGGAGTACATTCATTACTATCAAAAATAACGATATCAGAATCATTATGAACAATATTTCCATCAACCGCATCATTTTCATTGTAAATGTCATTTAAATAACTCCTCATCGGTGAATTGACACTGCATTGGAGATTCTGAAAATACAAAAAAAAAAATCAAATTATTACAACATAATGTCGAAAATGCAGGGCAATCTATTACTTTGTCGTAGTAAAGTATCGAAAGTGGTACATTCAATGTGTTCCTAGCAGAAAAAAGTATCGGATGTACCACTTTCGATAAATTTGCTAGTACAAATTCCAAGGAAAACTATCGAAAGTGGTACATTTGATGGAACAAATTTACTCTTTGTACCAGTATAGTATCGAATGTACCACTTTCAATAGTTTAAAATCAATTATTCAAAACAAAAAAATTGACTATTTTTTGTCATAAATAGACCGTCACTACACAGGTTCCAATAACAACTTTAATATTTGTTACGTTTTAGATTTTAAACAAAAGAAAACGCATGAAAGAATAAAAATTTTAAACTTACCGGGTTGATTAACATTTGTTTCGGAAGTAATAATATGTTCTAGTGCACCTTCACTGCGTTGTTTTATCAGATTTATCATCTGTAAACCTCTTCTATTCATTTTGAACTAAAAGTCATAAAAACTAACCTAAACCTAACTTTAAAATCCACGCGTGCGTTCCGCTCACATATTCGGGTAACACTGACGAAACAGGTAGTTTCGTGTCGCGTCCGCGTACCACTGATCACGTATAATATCGAAAGTGGCAAGTTCGATGTTTTCGTATGTTCATTTTATGTATTATCGATTTTGTTCGATTGAAAAATAGTTGAAGGTATAAAAATTGATACATAATTTTTATATAGAATTAAACATCTTTATCTCTACTTGCTATTAGTGCAATAAAACGAAAATAGCTTTTTTGCAATTTCGATAGTATACGTGGGGGCCGTCGATTTGTCAAATAGCTTGTGAGCGAGAAAATTTTACTTTACGCTTTAAATTCGTGCCTTTTTTATCACACTCATGAGAAAAGGTAAAATGGATGTCCTGTATGCTCTGGAGTATCGTTAAAAGCAAGTAAAGGTTTAATATTTTCTACTGAATCATAACATAATAGCTTATTACGAGGCCCATGAGGAGATATTTGATGATTTAATGTGAAAATTGTTTAGAATTTTACGGGTTTCATCACTACATAAATGACATAATTATGTCCATTTTCTCCAACCAAAACTAAAAATTACTTAGTGTGTGCGAGCACCTAACCTAAACCTTTATTTACATTGTCAGGTGTCATTTGTGCCAAAAAGTGTTTACGTGTGACATCTCTTAGGTAATCCTACATTCCTTCAAATTTAAAAGAGGTGATTAAAAACGGGCTATAGCCACATCTAAGTGTGGGAAAGCCATGCTTCAGCACGAAAGGGTCGGCTCGACGGGAGTGATACCACGGCCTCACAGAAAACCGACGTGACCCTTTAAACCCTCTGCGACTTAGTATCGAAACCGAGTCTAGCAGTCGGAGATACCGGGTTAATTGGCATAACGTATACGATTTCATTATATTTTTTATCAGCTTTTCTCCTTGAAAATTTTTAATAATACTTCATAGTAGCAGTTTTATCAAGGTTCCCAACTAACTACAATATACAAAAGACCGAAACAAAATGTCTGCGAATAATAAAGTAATTTGTCCAATCGTTTCAGCGACTAGTTTATTAGAATGAACTGATGATAAGAAGAAAAAGGGGGCAAAACTTTTGATTGCTTGGACCA